CTTTTATGAGCTTGTGGTGCAGCCGTCTAATCCTAGTACTCTGGGAGGCTGAGGCAGGAGAGTTGCAAATTTAAGCCCAACCTGAGTGGTTTATTGACTTTGGGAGAACGTGTATCAAAATTAGCAACAATAAAGGACTGGGGATATAGCTCAGTCTGTGTGAAGGCCCTGGGCTTGATCCCCAGGGCAGGGATGGGAGGGGGGGCAACAAGAGAGGTGAAGGAAATGGGTAAACAGTAAAGATAAATTTTGAAAGACCAGAGTATGTGTCTGTGTGTAATGTTTTAAAGGAAACTGTTCATGCCAAAACAAACAAACAGACAGACAAACACCGGAATGCTAGGAAAGTGTCATGTGGAATGAAGTGAAGGAAGCTAACACTTCTGAAATAATTAGCTGTCAACTGAAATGCATCTAAAAGGAGGTGCTGGGCCTGGTGAGAATGCAAAGACGTGTGGAAGAAATAAATGACTCTTCTACACAGTGACCTCTAAGGTAACTTCCTACCCCTGTGGGGTGTCATACGTCATAATAATAGTAACAAGGTGGCAGTGTCCTGTAGGAAATGAAATGGGATTGAAATGCTGAAGTCTCAGCAGCTACAACCTTGGGCAAGTCATTTAGTTTCTGCTGAGGCTCATATCTTTATTTGTACTACTCACAGTGTAATGTATTAGTGCAAGTCCCTTTAAAAAACCAATGTATGGCAAAGTCAACAGGCACAAGTGTGTTTGTGAGGTACTAATGACATCTGCTTCTTGCTTTGGCACCAGCTATACTCCTGTGTTCCTTTGTGGAAAGCTGTTGGGATGCCTCTGTATATATATATATATATATATATATATATATATATATATCCCCAGTCACTTAATTTTTTTAATTCTTGAAAGTCAGAGCAGCTCAAACTGTTTTTTTTAATTCAAAATGATTACCATCATGACTAGAAAAAGTATAAAAGTGAGTAAACTGCATTTCCTTCGTAGCCATCCTATCACACCTGAAGGCCTTGGGACTCATAAGGGACGGATGATAAACATCAGTTGCTTTTCTTTGTGCGTTTTGCTTGTTACTGACTAGTATTTCCCTGGTAAAGAAACTGGAGGAATGAACCAGGAAGTTTCCTGTACACCAGAAGGGTCAACAATAAAAACAAAGGAGCCCAAGCTGTTCACATCAAGAGAAACATGTGATTAGAGAGATATGACATGCAAAGAAATTATCTGAAAAGTGAAGTCAGTTGGGAAAGGATAAGCCCCAAAGAGCCCTGAGCAGCTGGTCATGATCAGATTCTCCATCTTTCTGTCAAATGTAATCGTATCCCGAGTTGGCAGGATATTTATTGCTAAAGTCGAAGGGCCAGATTTTACACTAAACATATTTACACATTTATATTCGTGGCCCAATAAACACACCACATTTCACTGGCCGTGACATCAAACACATTTACCAACGAAAAACATATGTGTAATTACAAAATCATAGGAGAAAGGGGAGGCAATGGCAGCTGATGGGCAGTGTGTGTGCCTGTGTCTGGATGTGGGACCTGGCTGCACTACCAGGAAGCTGCAGAGACCAGAATGGAAGCGGACAATGCCCTGGCCACTGCACTCTGCCCTGTCCAGTCTTGAAGTAGATGGGGGATCCCAACCAGATGCAGACTGACCCACCCCTGGAGAAGCCCTGTGAGACTAGGGGTATTTCTGGGCAGATTTCTGATTTGGGTTGAGTCTGTTACTGCTATGACCTTTAAGTAGCTCCAAATGACTTTCTCAATCAGTAATAAAAACAGCTGTGAGCAGAAAGGATAGGCAGCAGACAATTTTAAAAATCATATAGCTAGAGTCCTTGAATTTTGGCTTTGGGCAGTAGAATCAGATCCCTACCTATCAACAGCAGTTGTAATAATGCCCTTAGCTGCTCCAAGCTTGGTCCTTCATCAAATGAGGAAATCAGAGCCACTGGAGCCAGAGAAGAAGAAACAAAATAGTGGCTTCAGACAGCCTTTAATAAATGACACAGGCTGGTAGTCCATCAAAATAATCACCTTCCATCAGAATGACCACCTCCCCCAGCTCTCTCAGAGGACAGACCACAGGAAGAAATGGTGGGTTTATAAAAAAGAAAAAAACCTGTGAAGGGCAGAGGCCTTTTCCTGAGAATGGATACTACATTCACGGTGAGAGTTTAGATAATACATATATTCGAAATTCCAATTCCCTCAACAGAAAGTTAGGGCAGGAAGGAGGCAGTGCGTGGAAGACCGAGCAGCAGAGATAATTAAACATACAGATGCTTCAGCAAGTAAGAAATGGAAAAGCCCTCACGATTTCTTCCCTGCAGCTCTTCAGTTTCTTTCTTTTCTTTTTCTTTTAGAAGGAGAAAACTGGTTCTTAAATAAATGTGTAGGATGGAGATGCTGAGCAGAAGCAATAGCTTATTTTAAAGAAATAAAATAATTACCCAACAGAGAAAAAAGAAATCAACCAAGAAACAGTCTAGGGTCATGACACCATGTGTGGTACAAGGAGCAATTCAGTCCATAAGGGCTTCATTACCCCCGCAATAGATAACATTTGGCTGGATCGAGCTGCGGACCTGAATGGAGAGGCCCCTTTTTGTGTGGTCCTTCTCCCTGAGCCGCCTGAACCATTAGCCCCAATATACCCCTCTCCCTATTAACTGCAATTCCCTCCCGACTGTGCTACGGTCATTTGTCTGGAAGCTCTACGGGGGCGTTTGATGGGTAGAGAAACAAGAAGAAGGGGAGAAAAGCGTCGGGTTAATGAGTTGTAGCAAATCCACACTTTGTAGTTGGGAGGAGGAGAGCTGGTGGCCAATGTTTGTCCAACTGGTTTATTTTTCGAGACCCAGCCTATTGAGATAGGCTTGTTCAAGCAGGCTTCTTCCCTCCAAACACACAAACATCCCTCTGTTTGCCTTCAAAGAAAAGGGGACCAGCGCTAGATTTGCATGCGAATGAGGAGCCCGGGGAGGAGACGTCCTTGCCCATCAAAGGCCCTGGTAGCCCACGGCCCGGCGGCCTTTGTTCCAGCACCTGCTTGCCTGCTTGGCCTGCCCGGCGCGCTGGCGCTGCAGTCCACGGCCGGCCCCTGGCCCACGCCTCTAACCAGCGCCTGCTGCACTTACCCAGCGTCCCTGTCCTCAGCGGGCCCGGAGGGTCAGCAAGGCGGGCGGAACCCCAGATTCCTCTGGGCGCGCACTCCAGGGGAGGCAACACGTACAAAGGAGGCGGCTCGGGTTTTTCTCCTAGGCCAATGTCTCAGGCCGCGCCCACCGGCTCGGAAACACTTTTGCGGCCTCCAGTCGGGGGCAAGGGAGCGGGAGCTTGAGTAGCAGCGCCGTCTCTAGTCCCTGAAGCACACTGACATTTGGGGGGGGGGGCGAGGGTGGAGCTCTTCCCAGCACATTTTAAAGATCCAGGGGCCAAGAAAGGGCTTAGTCGGGATTTCCTCCCTGCTTTCGTGCATTCATATATCATGCAATTTTAAAAAATAATTTTGTTCTTGGATAACTTCGTAATTGCTCTCAGATCTAAACTTCAGTTCTGGGCGTCGTAGCTGGCCCAAAGGAGCACACGCCTGCTTCGTCTCTGCACCCCGGCACGAGATTCTTAGGTTCTCGGTCCGATGATGTCTCCTTTCTCAGCAGGGCTGGAGTACAAGGAACTCTTGCATATAAGATTTTGGTCTAACAGCATTTCAGTTTGTAGCTGTATATTTTGTGATAAGTTTGAGGATGTATTTACTCTAACCTCTTTTTAACTTTTTCCAAACATCTCAGGAAAAAAAAAAAAAAAAAAAAAGAACTTCATTTGGAGGCAGAGCCAGTGTTTCCTTTCCTGGACTAGCACAGGTTTGGGGTGCAGCTCAGCTGAGGAGCTCTTGCCTCCAGAGCATCAAGCCCTGGCTCCCACCTCCAGGACCAAGGGGGTCAAAGAGTAAATATCACTGCAAACTAGCTGCCTACAATGCACACTTCTCTGATGTGATAACTTAAGCAAATCTTCAGATATACACCTACTCAGACATGTTAAAGAAACTGAATAAACAGATTTTATCTCCACTGCAAGCCATGATACTAGACATTCAAATTATGTATTGCCTATTCTTGGTTTTAAAGCCCCAATAACACCATAGTTTTAAAAAAAAAAAACCTCGCATTTTTTCCAAGAACTAAAAATTGCATGACTTAATAAGCACTTAATGAAAGGCTTAAAGTTTGAAAAAGACATACACTACTCAGACTGTATAAATACAAGTAGTTCCATGAACACCTCGTGCATTAATTCTTTAAACATGTACTATCCTGAAGTTGATGCTTCCTCTTATTCTTACATTGCTTAAGCTACATTTTCAGTATGTTTGCTCCTTAAGGTAAAACCCCTTTATGCAACCACTGGAATCTCTTTCAGCTCAAAAATAATAACTTTAAACACCACTAGAACTTAAGATACAACTTACTTTTTATATGCAAATAGCTATTTAGAACTTTAAAACTTTTACATTGATGACTGTCTCTATTATTTTTTATTAAGTCTCTAAACTATTACTGCCTCTTGTGTTGCTTCCACTTATGATGATGTTATATTGCAGTATTTTTGCTGATACACAAAACATTGTGCTGGAAGGTTAAAGAAGTGAGAATTTCAAAAATAAATCTTACAATTCTCACAAAATCACTGTAGAGTAATCGTGGCTTAAATTTTAATACCTCAAAAATCTTTAAGAATAGAGCCAGATTTGGAAATGTCTATTAAAGTAACTTATCTGTAGTCAGTTAAAAATACTTTCTGATCGCCTGCAATGGCTTTGACTTGTTTAAATTAAAAAGTTTACATTCAAAACCATGGCGTGTTCTCTTTGAAAATAATATAAATAAGCCTGTCCTGCATTGGGCTCCTACTTACACCACATAAACCCTTTTTCTAAACAGAAAAGAAAAACTAAGGAGGGGCAACTGAAGCCAATTATCTTGGTGGCTTTTCTTTGAAAATTAAGTATTTTATTTCTGAAAAAGTGTAAAAATTTTACATTAGAATAGTACAATAATAATTGCCAGTAAAATTTACAATACTCCTTGTAAAGAATATGCAGTTAAGTACAAAATAAAAACTTCCCATGTCTATTATGATACAAAACACAGGTTAAAATAAGAAATGGTAACTTCGACTTGTTTCTTCTGTAAACATGTTAATTTTTTTCTCCTTTTTATGAAAAAGCGCACCATACAAGTGTCCTCGGATAAAAGTCGATCTTTGAGACCCTTACTTTTTTGTGTTGTTCTTCACTGGAACGTTATTTTTTTTTTTAAACGCCTGGACCTGAGAATTTCTACACCTCAAAAGGCTTCGGATTTTTTTTTTTTTTTTCCGGTTTGCCAAAAGTCAAGGAAGCCTCCAGTGCCCAGACTGGGAGGATCCCCACCAGCACCCTCTTCCTCCTCCCGGGTCGGGCTGCAGCATAGGGCGAGTTTGCATAAATAGAGGGGCCCGCTGAGCCGAGGCGCGGAGCCCTGGCCGAACAGTCTTCTCCGCGAGTCCGCAGCGGCGACAGTAGGCGCGCGAGGCTGGGAGGCCTCGGAGGAGCGCACCGACTACCAAACCGCCCAAGCCAGAGAACCAAACCAAAACCGGAAAAGCGGCCGGGAGTCCTACCTTCTTCTCAAGCGCGCTACCTGAGCGCTCTTAACAATTGGAAATCCTAGCAGTAAAGTTCTCCACGCTCGACAGGGCCGTCCCCGGGTGCAGCGTCCCCAAGGCAGCTGAGGAGGACACGGAGGAGGCGGCGGCCGCGGCGGCGACCACCAGGGAGCGCGTGAGCGCGGCAGCCGGGCCCACAGCCGCCTGCGCTGCGCAACCGCCGGACGCTGCAACAGGCGCGGACCCGGGCACGGGGGGCGCCGCCGCCGGCGAGGGCGAGGGCGAGGCCTGCGCGGCGGCCTGCACGGCGGCGGCCTGCGCGGCGGCGGCGGCGGGCCCCAGGCTGCCCCCGATGATGCTCTCGATGGAGAAGGGCGAGCGTGCTAGCGCCGCGGAACCCAGTCCGCCCGCCTTGGCCTGCAGCGGGCCCGGCAGAGCGGAGCGCAGCGGGTGTGACCGGTACCCGAAGGCGGTCCGGGCCAGCTCGGCGGCCGCGCCGTGTGGCGGCGGGGGCGGCGGCGGCGAGTGCGCGTGGAAGGCGGCGGCGGCAGCGGCGGCGGCGAAAAGCGCCGAGGGCGGCGCGTAGGGCGGCAGCTGCAGGCCGTAGCCGCAGCCATAGGGGCCGCAGCCGTAGGCGGCGTGCGGGGGCGGCGCGGGCGGGAAGAGCGTGGCGGCCGGGTCTGCGGCGCCCCCCGCGGCTCCCGCGCCGCGCAGCAGCAGCGACTCGGCGGCCGCGGCATTGGGCGGGAGCAGCGGCTGCCGCTTGAAGCGCTTCCTTCGGCGCAGGAAGCTGCCGTTGTCGAACATGTCGGCGGACTCGGGGTCCAGCGTCCAGTAGTTGCCCTTGCCTGGGTTGCCCGGCTCGCGGGGGATCTTGACGAAGCAGTCGTTGAGCGAGAGGTTGTGGCGGATGCTGTTCTGCCAGGCGGGGAACTTCTCGCGGTAGTAGGGGAAGCGGCCGCTGATGAACTCGCAGATCTCGCTCAGCGTCAGGCGCTTCTTGGGGCTCTGCAGGATGGCCATGGTGATGAGCGCGATGTACGAGTACGGCGGCTTCACCAGCGGGTTCTTGGCGCCGCCGCCCGCACCCGTGCTGGCCCCTGCGCCCGCAGCCGCGCTGCCGCCGCCCCCGCCGCCCGAGGTCGCCCCGGCTGGGGGTGCCGGGCCTGGGGGCGCCGGGGAGCCGCCCGCCCGCGGGGCCAGCAGAATGTCATCATCGTCGTCCTCCTCTTCCAGGTCTTCGAGCTCGTCCTCTCCAGCATACGAGCGCCGCCGCCGCCGCCGCCGTCGCCGAGGTGCGGGGACCGCCAGCCGGGGCCCGCCGCCGCCCTCTTCGTCGTCCTCCTCCTCGTCGTCGTCGTCCTCGCCCTCCCCCACCACGTCGATGTCTGTTTCCTCGGCGAGGCCGGAGGCATCGGACATCTCCGCGCTCAGGGTCATAGCTGTGGCGCGGCGGCGGTGGTGGGGCGGCGCATAGGGGCGCCGGAGTCCGGGTTCCCGCGGCCGCCGGGCCGGGGTCCTGGGCAGCGGGCCTGGCCCGGGGGCGCCACGCTGGGGGCGGCAGGGTCCTGCGCAGCGACTTCGCAACTCTGGCGCCGCCGCAGCAGGAGCCGCGCTGTGTATGCGCGCCCTGCGCCCCGCGTTCCCCTGGCGGACGCGCAGGACTTGGCTGCCCCGCTGCGGGTCCGCTAAGGAGGGGTGGCTGCGCCCCCGCGCAAGTCGGAAAGCCAGGCGCCCCGGAGGGCGCGGGACGCGTAAGAGTCTGGGAAGGGAGCGCGGCGAAGCCGGGGCTGAGTCCAGAAGAGGGCGGGCCTTTCCCCAGCTTATAGCAGAAGGGGGCCTGTCACATGGTGCGCACGTCAGCGCGCGGCCGGGGGAAGGGAAAGGAAGCCGAGGAAATCGGCTTTGCTCCGGAGAGAAAGTTCACCCGCAGGAGGGACCACGGCTGGAAGATCGCACCTCACCATTAGCGCCTGAAGGGCGGGCTGCCCGTGGTGACCTGTAAAGCGTTTTAGGGTTCCAGGCCAGCGTCTCCCCAGTGAGCTTCCAGCCCTTAATGCAGAAGCCCTTCGCGGGCACCGAGAGTTCGCCCGCTCACCTGCCCGTAGGAGCAGCCCCGCTGGGAGAAAACCACCTGTCCTCCGAGGTGGCCCGGGAGGTTCGGGGTCTGATAGGTGTCCTTGCTTCTCTGTGTTTGGCGAACGACCTCTCCCCCCCTAACAATCTGATGAGGGAGCTCCCTGCCCCCAGTTTAAACACCATGATTGTTTATTGACCCTTTAACCTGCTCCCTTCGCTAAGACGTTTGTTTTCCACCATCTGTTAATAAACGTGCTGTTAGGCTTTCGTTTTTTGATCTTTTATCTGCCATTGAATGCCGTAGAGATTTGACAGCTAAGCTTCGCCACATTGATGACAGGATCCCACAAATTCCACAACTGTTAGTTTATTTCCATAAAGAAATTATTGATGAAAAAAAATTTAAATTTAGTAACAACTCACTCTCTCACACAAAAATAGCATCTAGGAAACTAAAAAATTTGGCTTTCATGTCGGGGAAGGGACTATAATTCTCAATAAAGGGAACATTTTAAGCATTTCACAGTATTTCTCAAAATGCTTAAATTATTGTAACATGAGCATGTTTCTACTCAAGCAGGCTTAATAGAAACTACGATAAGTAACTTTATGATCAACGTTAAAGTGTTTTTAGAAAATCCAGTAAATGTTTCCAATATTTTGATGGAAAACGAAATTTTTCTAAACTCTAAACGTCTAAAGACGCAAGTTCCATTCAATTCAGTTTTCTCTTCCAGGTGACAACATAGTGGAAACAATTAAAATATGATGTTATTTTAAGGATGCCTGTCATTATCACCTAAACTAATTATTCTGGCTAGTGGAATATCCTAAGAGTTTGTGGAATTAACATTCGTACGGCCATACCTTCTGGAGTTTTGCATTTCCTAAAGTGTTTCTATTTCAAAGTGGGGACTTTGCCTTAAAAGTTTAACATTCTGATTAAAATGGCCACTCAACAACTGAAAATCAAATTTCAGTGACTCTGTGGGAACCACAGTCAGCTCCCCTGGTACATATCATTTTATCAACCAAGTACTTTTTGCGTTTTGAAACGTTTCCTTACTCCTGTTATCAATCACAGAGCTTCAAAAATAAACTGCTCTCTCATCTAAGCCTGCTTTTAAAATTGAGTTTTTGTGCCTGAGTATGTATGGTTACCACCAGTTAAATGTACAAATGACCCATAAAGTCTGTCGCAGATCTTTGAAAGATCTATGAGATTGCCTCAAAGTTTTAAATAAATGATTTTTCATTGACTCTGATTTGATATATGGCCGAGCCATTTAATTATTGTAATGGGCTCCGCATTAACCGGAGCCAGCATTAATCAACACTATTAATCAGGCATCACATTGCTTTGTTGATGTAGCCAGAAGTCCTTACCAAGGAGTTCATTTTTGCAGCGGAAGGTTTAAGTTTTCTAAGTACTCAGTCGATGGCTAAATAAACACCCTGATTTTCATAGCACTGAAGATTGCTGTGTGGCAAAGTATTGAAAGAGAATTTGCTTCCTTCGCTTGTCTTTGACAACCTGTTACGGTCCTCTTTCTGTTCAGGGTTCCTACTGTCCCAAACTTGTCTGTCAAAAAACAAAAACAACAAAAAAACAGCTTTCCGTTCGTCGTTTTCTGTAGGTCCCTTCCTAAAAAGATTAAAGAAGGCGCCCGTGGGAATGTTTGGAGAGCGTCCGTGGCAATTTACCTTCTGGTTATTCAGGGCAAGGTACGGAATCCCCTAAAAGATTCGATCCGAAGACCCACCGGAGGGACCGCGGAAGATGAGAACTTAGCGGAGCCTCCGAAAGCTTTCCTCCAGCCCCGCCTTTGGGCGGGTCACTGGTTTTGTTTGCGTTCCTTAGACTATGCGTTTGTTTGCTAACTTTTAGCTCCGCCTTCTTCCTGAGGTTCCCTGAGTGCCAAAACCCAAGGGTTGCGTCTTCGGTCTCCCTTCAGTGCCTCTTGTCCCCCACCCCGGACCTCCCTGCCCGCCAAGCGCGCAGCTTTCAGCCGCAACTAGGAGCTCTCCACTACCCCTCATGCCCTGGCCTTGCAGCTGGACCGGGACAGAAACCTTCACCAGGAGCAGGCCGAGGGACAGACTGGATGACCTCTGCCTCCTGCGCGCTCCGCCGACTCGGACTTGGATGGTGGCGGGGCGCGAGTCCCTGCGTTGCCCGTGCGGGGGACAGCTGCCCCCTGGCGGAGATGCGACGCAGACTGGGGTACCCCGGGGCCACCAAGCGCGCGGAGCCTCCGGTCAACTCCCAGGCGTCCCTCCCCCTGGCTTTGGCCTCTGGTTCCTTGGGCTGCACGTTTCGGCTCCGCGGCACACCGCGAGGGCGGTTTGTGAGCCTAATTCCTGGGATCACCGGTATTATGCGCTGCAGGAGCCATGCAACCTGTGAGACCCTCAAGAGGCTTTCCTTGGGCCTTTGTCCTTGGGTCACGCTATAGAGAGCGCTCGGGGCCTCCTTGGGTGCGCAAAGACTGGCGGACGAGGCCGGACGGTGAAATACCCCTTGCACACCCGGGGAGTTCACCCAGGAACAGGTGGTGAACACTTGGGGTTGCGGCCCTCCCTCAAAGAGACATCTGTAGTCTTGCGTTTCCATACTGTCTTGTGCGCGAACTACTAGCCTTGAGGGCGGGGAGGTGGTTGGGAATGGTTGCACCGCCAATGACCAGCGCTTCCCGAGCTCCCACCACCAAGGGTGCTGGTGAGCTCCGCGTTTGCGCCCTTCGATGCCCTCCCTTCCTCTTTCTCCTGGCTGTGTGCCTATTTGCTTCTCTTTGTAGAAAACCGAAATCGGGCTCCTTTCTTTTTTTGCGAGTAGTCTTTTGAGGAGGTTGTACAACACACGTAACATGGAGTTTACTATTTTAGCCAGTTCAGAGCATTAAGTACCTTTGCACTGTTGCGCAGTCGTCACGCTAGCCACCTCTAGAATTTTTCCATCAACCTAAACTAAAACTCTGTGCTCATGCAAGAAAATAATTCCCTATTTCCCTACCTATCCAGTTATCCCCCAGCCCCTGTAACCACTGTTCTACTTTCTGTCTCTATTAACTCGTGTACTCTAGATACATCGTATAAGTGCAAAGGGGAAATACTTGTCCTTGGTGTCTTAGTTCACTTAGCTTAATGTTCACGATGGGAATTCCCTTCGAAGGCTGAGTAATATTCCATTGTATGGATGTACCACACTTTTGTTTTATCACTCATCCACTGATGAACATTTTGGTTGTTTTCTTCTTTTCAGTTTTTCAGTCTCCACTCAGGTCTTTGCAACACTGCAAGCAGTAGTTACTCAATAAATTTTTTTAAAGTAATCATTTTTGTGCACCTGTCCCACACCCAAAATGCCGAAGAAATCACCTTTTCCCGAACAGAACACACTCATGGGGATGGTATCCCCTGTGGCTGCCTTCTGGGTTTCGAATGTCAACTTGTCCACAGTTTTGACACTTTCAGATGCAGAAGCTGGACATTACCTTCAGTAAAAATGTATACCTGAGGAGTGCCCCAGAATTAGTTCCAGGCAAAACTGTGATCATCTCCATCCCTGCCCCATGCATTTTACATCTTTTTAATACTTTTGTGCCTATCCCAAGCCTTGGGGGCTCAGGATGGGCTTAAAATTTATCCCTGGCCATCTAGCACCCTCTACTTTGGCACTCAATGCTCAGTGGTATAATGACATACTTCCTGCCAAGCTAATTTCAAGGTCATAGCTGTTAAAAGTGAGCACCTCCATGTGATGGCTGAGGGAACTGGCTCTGATAGTGGCTACTGCACTGGTGGAGTTGTGACAGAATCCCCTCATTCTCCTGTCCCAAGTCCAGTGGCCTCTCCAAGGTGGGACTTTGTGGGTGACACTCACTCCATCTCTGACTGCTTTGGGAACCTGAAAATCTTATTGATACGAGATATGTTGTGGTGTGTGTCTAGATATCCCCTCAAAGCCTCGTGCTTTTCAGAGGTGGCTGGATCTGGAGTGTATGACTCTGGAATTGATTCATGGTACAATGCTAGAAGTAAGGGCACTGGGACTAGGGTTGTGTAATTACTAAATTAGTTCACTGATTGGCTTGGCACCTGCCCCAAATCAGGTAGTTAAGGCAGAATATAAGAGGGACAGAAAGAAGCTGCTATTGTCATTAGAAGTTTGCCACCATCTGCCTGGCAGGGACTGTTACTCCCCTTCCATCCCTCTCTGTCATGACCCCTGCCTTGGAGCCATCCAACTGTGGACTGAAACCTCTACAAACTGTAAGCTAAATAAACCTTTCCTCCTTTACCTTTGGGTACTGGCTATTTTGTGTCAGTATTGAGAGAAAATAACTAAGACACCCTTATGGTCTTTTTGCTTTGGCAAAGAGTTAAAAGTCTCACAGTGCCACATTGGGTGAGTAAGGTAGATGAGAACACACTGGGATGTTTTATGAGCCTGTTGTTCCTTTAGATAACACTCAGGGGCCAGGGATATATAGCTTAGCAGGCACAAGTGCATGCCTGGCAAGCACAAGGTTCCAGGTTCAGTTCCTGGTACCGAAAGTGAACAAACAAACAGCACTCAGCAGCAGCTTTCACCATAGTTTTGATCATGCCTTGTAAAGACATGAAAGATTCTAGAACTGCCCCCAGGAAGTTGCAAGAATGATGAGATAGGTGGGTTCAATTCGAAAGGGTGTATTTTAAGGGAGATTAATGGCAATCTGTCTTTCA